TGCTGGTGGGAGTGTAGATTGGTGAAACCACTGTGGAAATCAGTTTGGAGATTCCTCACAAAACTAGGATTGGAAGTCTCATTTAACCCAGCTATCCCCCTTCCCAGAAGAATTAAAGACATCATACCACAGCGATGTATGTGCACCCATGTTTATAGCAGCACAATTTGTTATAGCTAAATCATGGAAACAACCCAGATGCCCATCCACTGAGGAATGGATAAAATAAATCTTAAAAAAAAAAAAATTGGGGCTGTCAATTTGACTGGGTTAAGGGATAGCTAGAAGAGGGGCCAAGTGCTCTCCAGGGTGTGTCTGTGAGAGTTTCCAGAGAAGACTGGCGTGGGATCCGAGAACATCCGGGGCTCATCCGAACAGCGCAGCGCCTTCTGCAGGTTGAGGTTACAGAAAGAAGGAAGTAGGGGACGCCTACGCTCGCGCGCTTGATCTTCTTGAGCAGGGCATGTTCTGCTGCTGCCCAAGGACATTGGTCTCCAAATCCTTCCGCCTTCAGCCGTGGTCTGGCACCGGCCGCTCTGCGAGGAGCTTTGAGACCTGCAGCGTCCAAAGAGGCTGCATCGTTATCCCCTCTTGTTCTGCGTCTTCCAGCTTCTTACTCTGAGCAGCTACCAGTTTGCCCCGGCCAGCAGACAGGTGGCCCCCGTGAGACTCCTCAGCCTCTGATCGTAGAGCCCGCTCTAATCAGTCCTCAGCTCTTGTGCTCACATGCTTCCCGCTGGTTCTGCTGCTCTGCAAAACCCTGATTGTGCTTCTCTTTCCAAGACGTGTTCGTGTCGTAAATCATGTTGCTCACCATAAATATATACAATTATTTGTCAGCTGCACAGCCATGAAGATGGACATAAAGGCAGCTTCACAATTTCGCCAATCACTGCTCTACCAGCAAGTGAGCACAGGTAAGCTTATCGTACATTTATCATACAGCTGTCATGTAAGCGCAAGTAAGCCGATCAGACACCACACAGACCATACAAGCTTATCACACATGTATACAACTTGTCATGCACTTCTTGTATCTTTGTTTTATTCATTCTTGTATATACTTTAATGAGCACAATATATTCAGTTATATAGGTATATACATTTACATGTAATACATAAAGCTTTTACATAAACGACAAACGATCCAGTTCTCACAGAAATGTTATGAAATAGCTCAGAGGTACAGGAAGGTATAAAAATGTTATAACAGGAACAGGTGCCGACCGTCTGTATGAAAATTTGGAACTACTTTGTTCTCTTCCTCTGCCCAAACATAGCTCTCCCTTTGAATCTTCAAGATAACTGCTGTCCTGAGTTTGGGATTCATCGTGTTGTGTAGTAAGGAAGTTAGCCTTCCCTGAAGAGTGGCTCTTGTCCTGACTTGTGGGAGATGCCCTCTCAGCTTGTGGAATGCCATGCTTGATAGAACTGTCTTTGTTTGCCCAGGGGCCCTTACATCACACTGAAAAATCTAAAAATGTGATTTAGTGCCCCAGCTGGCCACACCAGATATTTTTAACAGTGTGAGTCACAGTGGGAGCTGACCATACCAGACAATCTGGCAATGTGATTTAGAATGGGGACATTGGACCCAGGGGTATCAGCTCAACTTCCAGAGGAAGTGGGCACTGAGGGCAGACATCAACAAACCTGTGAGAGGGGGGCAGAGTAAAAGCTCTGGATTTAAGACTTGGGTGAGCTGCTCTGGTTGGCAACGCCGTGTGTGTGGTCACCTATCATTTCATCATGCTGTCCCCGACATGGAAGGGCCCTAGTCGACTCTGCCTCATTTACTCAAGTTTAGGACAATATAAAAAGGCAGAAGGCCAAAATGACAAGGAGAAACCTCACCTCAAACCTCCCGAGGTGATGTGCAAATAATGTAAACAGTATAAACGATGAAAGGGTCTGGGTCCCTTGGTCCACAGCCCAGCTGGGGACTCAAAGCCAGAAGCACAGTAGTAGTGAAATGATCTGGAAAAAGCGACATTTCTGGAACTCTGGGACATGGGCCCCCCAAACACTAATTCCCGATCTGTTGGTGAAGGCCTTGAAGTTAGATCGGAGAGACATGGGATTATCGGGGTTGATGGGATTGAGGGGAGAGTTTGGATGAAACTTGAAATGGTTGGTCAGACTGTGTGAGAGAGTCCTGTGGATCCATTCACCCGGATGTGCTATGGGGATCCATTCACCCGGATGTGCTATGGAGACCCATTCACCCGGATGTGCTATGGAGACCCATTCACCCGGATGTGCTATGGAGACCCATTCACCCGGATGTGCTATGGAGATGAATACTGTGTCTGATTGGTGACCATTTCCCCCAGGCTATTGTAAAACTTTCGGAGGGCGTGTAAATTGTCCCTTCAGCCAACACTGATTGAGCCTGCTAAATGGGGATCTTACAGAAAAGTTGCCCAGACCCACTCAGATTGTTAATATGAAATAGTACAGCGTGTGTGGTATGTGATCGGCAAAATATGATAGAATCTCATTTTCTGGTTTTTTTAGTTTTGAGTTTTCAAGGACACGTATCTCACATCTGCCCACAAAATACTGCTAGCTGTTAGCCACAAAGCCGCATACAAGGTCTGGGAGTCCTTAGGCAGACCAGAGCTATCGCAAAAGCCAATGAGCGCCACCTAGCGGTGAGTGCTGGGATTTGGGGCCAGAAATTTCTCATTTGAAAGACCGCGGGCTGGTTATTGGGTTTTAAGTCTGCCCCGGTGACTGAAAAGGCATCAGGTCATTCTGAAACCTAAAATCCATGATGTGTTTGATAATGCATGGATAAACACTCCAGTAAGGAAGCCCATGCCCGGAAGAATTCCGTAATAAAATGGAAATGCTTTCTATGGGAACATGCCATCAAGGAAAGACGTTGAGAAGCACGTGGCCTTTTTCCCCTGAGAGTCACCTGTAGAAGCACCTAAGGAACTGCTAGATCCTGCTATTACTCAGAGGGTGCCTAGGAATAGTTCCTAACTGACCAGCTAAGAGCTTCTTGGGTGGTGGGTGGAAATTCCAAAGTGAACGGACTCCACCCTGTTTGGAAGACTGACAGCTTGATTGAAGCATGGAAAAAGTCAGTTCAGTTGGGTGAACTGCCCTGAGGAACTCATGGGCAGTGGCCAACGGCCTGGCCATATGATCAGGCAGATGGGCAATGCAAAATAGACTATTAGAGGTCTGCCTGGTATGACCCTATGGGAAACCAGTACAGTCAGTATCTCAGAAGATCTGGGTATCCCTCTTACTAATTGCCATTTCCTTCCACCCTCAAAGGCAATTTCTATCTCAGCATTTATGGTAGGCATGGCTAGTACATTTCAAAATAATTTTACTGCCTACCAGTGCATCCATAAACATTATATTTTGATTTATCTAGTGTTTTTCAAACTCTGAATAAATGTAATCATACTTTTATTATTCACTTATGCCTGGCTTCATGCAGTCCATATGTTATTTGTGAAATTGATCCATGTTGTTGCACCTAGAAATAACTCATATTTTGATTGCTGGGAAGCAAAAGCATTTATTTTTCTATTTTATTTTTATGATGTCTGGGTACTTTGGTTGTTATAAATAATACTGCTGCGAACATTTGTGCATTTGTGGTTTGGTGTACACATGCAAATGCTTATGTTGGATATATCTAGGAACAGAACTTAGGGTCATAGAGTACGTGTACCTTCCACTGTTATAACGTGCTTGCCTTGATTTACATTCTTACCAACATGTGTGAAAGCTCAGTAATACACATCCTCACCAATACTTCGTATTATTTGCCATCTTAAATACTCAGCTGGACGAGTACTGGTACCTTAATAATAATGAAATCAACATGTATAGTAAACTACCTGTAAAACTCAGGACCTAGCTGAAGTTGTGATCAATCAGGAAAAGAAAGAACAAACAAACATAAAGTAGAAGAAAGGGAATACTATGAACAAGGAGATAAAATTAGTCCCTCCTTTGATATTGTTTATTCTATTTATTTCCCTATAAGCTTGAAAATGGTACAATTGATAACTCTGCTAGTGGACAATTTAACCCTAAACCTTACAATATGCATTCTTACTTTCTGCCATGGATTGATTGATTGATGCTATTTTTGGACAGTACACGGACAGTAGAAGTTTGATCTCTCTCATCCCTCTGAGTCATTCTCTGCATCCCTCACAGCTCGGGCACCAGCTCGAGTGTGTCGTTCTTTCCTGACCGTAGCAGACTCTCCCCCTGGCCACCTGCCCTGCAGTCACTTCCCATCCAGGCCATGTCTCATGGCACAGTCCAAACCTCCAAACCTCCTGACCCAGCCCCTCCAGGGTGCACATCCCTCCCAAGGATCCCTATTAGATTCAAGACAGAACTCAGAGTACCCAGCATTCCAGACTCTCCCAAGGAAGTGGCGATGGGGAGCGAAAGACAAAGGGGGAGATGAAAAAGGGGACTTGGCCCTTGTGCTTCACTGAGGATCATAGAGGAGCCTGCTTGTCTCCAGATGTGCCGGGGCTCGCCCTATGTACTTCCTGCTTCTCTGGTTGAACAGGCTTCAGGAGGACCAAAGACACAGCAGCTCAGCCTTACTAAGAATACTCTTCACTCCTTCTCTCCCACATCCTCTTTCAGTGACCCGCTACCTTGTTTCTTCTGAACCACACAGTTGTGATGTCAGAGCCAGCGCGGTAAAGGGCCTCTCCCGTCCCCGGAACTGTTGCTGCTGTTACAAATGGGGCTGCCAGGTAAGTGGGGTGGGAAGCAGCACTCTTGTTGTCCAAGGGAGCCAGGGGTTGGGTTGCTGTAGGGCCGTGAAGAGAGGACGTAAGGGTATGGGCACCAAATAACCAGTGTGGGTTGGACTTCTGGGAGCCAGCTTCTTGTGGGACTATGGGCGACTGGGGCAAACAGCACCTGGGGCCAGGAAATGGGACTGGCCGTGAGGGTGGTGGTTCAGTCAGGCTGCTGTGAAGGTGAGCTGTTGTAGGTATCCCCGGAAGCCCTGGGGTTAGGGAGCTTTCAGCATCTCCATGTCTCCGATGGGCATCCCCGTGTCTTCGTGGCCACCTCCAGGTCCCTGTGGGCATCCCCATGTCTTCGTGGCCACCTCCAGGTCCCTGTGGGCATCTCCATGTCTCCATGGCATACTTCCCCAGATGGTAAGGACCACCCCAGGGGCAGCAGTGGAAGAGAACTGTGCATCACAGTCCCCTGAAAGTTCCTCACCCCCCAACGGCCCAGACAAGAAGCCCAAGATGAAGGGATAACGGTGAGGGGAAATAATCCCTTTCCTCTAGTAATATCAGGGGACCCCAGGGAACGAGTATGGAAAACACTAAACTCAGATTCCTTCTCACTGGGGGCCCTGAAGAACATGACTTTTACTCATTAACCCAAGATATTCATCAGCTGGTCCATACGACCGTCCTAAGTTGCGTAGAATAAGGCATTTCAAACATCCTTGCCCCCAAAATCTGATAGCTTCATATGAAATCCTGGCTTCCGATGAATGTTCCATCCAAGGCCACTTTGGACTAGGAAAAATAAAATAGAGGTGTTCTGTTTATTGGATGGCTAATACTTTACCGTGCATTGAGCTAGGGACACTACAAACCTTAGCACATTTTTTTCTTATAGCAGGGCTAATATGAGATAAGGTCCATTCATGTCCTTGTTTTCCAGCGGAGGAGGCAAGGGACTTGCCTGATGGTATCTGAATACTGACTGATGAGGAGAAACCAGTCACAAGGCCTACGGAGAGAACTGGGGGTGAGGGACAGGGAAGCACAGTGGGCAGCACACTTAATGTGACCCGTGGGGCAGGTGAGGGGTCAGAGGCACCGTAGACCCTCCAAATTTCACTCCCCACCCATCCAGATGTATTTTGCGAGGCCTTTATCCCGTGGGCTTCTAGCAATTCTCTCCAAAGCTCCTTGTGAATCACGCATGAATAAGGAGAAGGTCGGGCCTTGGAAGAAGTGAAGGAAAGTCGAATGCCTTGCTGACTCCTGAGCTCCCTCTCCACAGCACCCGCCAGGCTGCTCAGCTCCTCTTGCTCCTTGGAGAAGACGCTGCGGTGCAGCTGCTCCTTCTACGGGGTCCCCACTCCGTCCGTGCAGTGGTGGATCGGAGGTGCCCCAGTGGGCGTGAATGCTGTAGACGGCAGCCTCCAGGTGACCTCTGCCACACATGGGCCCTGGGCCAACAGCACCATCCTCCTGTCCAAGGAGCCAGCAATGGGAACGCGCCTTCTCTGTGAGGGCAAGAACCAAAATGGAACCCACGCTTTGAGCATCCTGCTGATGTCAAGTGAGGGGGGCTCCGTGTCTGGGTGAGGATAATGGCAAGGGGTAGCACTGAGGCTGGAGGAGGGAGCAGAGTTCGGGCTTCTGAGGTCTTGGGAGAGACAGCCTCACCACATGCTCTGTACTTCCAGGGAGGAGCCCTTTGGCTCCTGAGACCTTCCTGAAAGGGCTGGTACGTGGTGCTGTTTATGGATCCATGGCAATCACGCTGCTCTTCTTCTGCATTCTCTTCCCCCTCATGTAAGTTTTTCTATCTGCATTTTCCTGCTGCTGTAACAAAACTGCTGAGACAAGGAAATTTATAAAGAAGAGATGTTCAGTTGGATCACAATTGCAGTTACTGGGAAGCCCAAGGGCGTCAAGCTGGAATCTGCTTGGCATCTGGTTGAGGTCTTCCTTGCTACATGAAAACATGGCAGACGGCATCCCACAGGGAGACAGAGAAAGTGGGCTGGTGGAGGTCTCTCTTCCTCTTCTTATAAATCCACTAACATCACTATGGAGGCCCCAACTTATGACATCACCTAATCCTAGTTGCCTCTCAAATGCTGCATCTCCAAACACCATTAACATGTGTCTTTGGGGATGAAGTTTCTGACCCATGAACATATGGGGGATGCATTCAAACCATAGTAGAATATCAAGGTTAAACTCTACCTGTAAGCCGCTCCCATACCCTGCTCTGCGACAGGCTCTGCCTAGGGCCCCAACATGGAAAGGACCAAGTTACCTTTAAGAAGTTGAGTCTGAGAAGGGAAAAAGGCAGCAAACAGTCATCACAATCCTGAACCATAAAACAGGCCCATGGGTGGATGTTTTCAGTCCAATTTACAACAGAGAAACATGAGGGAGTGTTGGCTTGGAGAAGGCAGCAGACAGTTGCAAAGGTGCTGTCTAAGGTGGGCCTGCAAGACCACGTGTTCGGTTTTGTTCTGCTTCATTTTTGGAGGAAAGTAGTGCGTGCAGAAGGCCGGGGCACACTGGAAACATGTTCTTGTCTCTGTGTAATCTGTTGCATTCAGAGTGAGAGATAGCTGGAAGTGCGGCTGTAGAAGGTCCTCGGTGTCAGTTCACAAAGACCTTTGAGACTCGGCCGATGCTTTGGCTAGAAGCTGAAAGTGAGAAGGGCAGAGCTGCTGGAGGTCGGGCAAGAGAGTTGGACCTGGGCTCCTCCAGCCGTTGCACGGCTTGGCCTGAGTCCTCAGTTGGGAGCCGTGGGAGAATGCTGAGCTGGGAGGGGAAGTGTGAGCTTGAGAAGGACACAGACAGGAAGAGATGGTGTCTGTCTAAGTGGGGAAGGGCCAGGCCAGAGCCAGGGAGAGAATGGAGGGGGGCAGCAAGAGAGAGGAGAGAGGGAGAGCGGCAGGGTGGCGGGAAAAACTGAGCGGCTATTTTTAAAACATAATCAGCTGGACTTAAAGACCAATAACAATCTTTCTACAATGTGAAAAGCTGAACTCATCTGACCATTCACTCAGGGTGTGAAACCAATCTCCAGAGAGGGCTATGGCTTGCCCTAGACAACAGAGCACACCGGGAGTGTTGCTGAGGCTCTGCAGCTGAATGTCTGATGAAGACCGGCCTGTTTGGGGATGCAGGGAGGTGGAAAGCCAGAACTGAATGGAAGCTCATTTCCTTAGGGTGAAGGATATCAGAATGAAGTGGGCAAAGAAAATTGCAGTCATCGAAGCACAAAAGAGCCCTAAAGTCAGAGCAGGCCAAGAATCCAAGATGCTTCTGATGCTTGAGGAGCCAGGGAAGTCCACAACCATCCCGTCCTCGGAGGGCCAGATCTCGGTAAGTAGCCACTGTACATGGAGTCCGGTGTGTTGGAATAATGTTAAGACCCATGGGAGAATGCTCCTGCAGCGCTTTGGAGGAATCACTCCCAATCCCGCAGGACATCAAAACGCAGAATGTGCTTGTGGTTCATGTTACAGTGAAGCTAAGTCCCAGGGAGCCTTAGGAAAGACGAAAATTAAGAGAAATCATTCAAAGAGCAATTAGAATCAGCAATGTATACACACACACACACACACACACACACACACACACACACTGTGTCCCTGTCGAGAAGAGGGCTGGGGACCCCCTAGGAGTGGCTGTAGCTTCAGGGTACAAACCAAAGATTTGGTCTCTTGGTGTTCAGCAGGCAGTAGTCAGCGCTGCATAAAGGTCACAGGCCCAAATCAGCCCGAAATACTCGGAAACCAGGCTGAGCCTCAGTTGCTCCTTTACTCTCCTGCACCCACCCTTCCTCAGCAGGGCTTGGGAAGGGCAGCGCTGGCGGTTGCCGCACCTCACTGTTATTTACCATTTATGATTCTCCAAGGCCAAAACTGCCCTGCAGCCCTCCCAACACTCTGTGTAAAGAACTGCATCTGTGAAATCTTGCCAGTATTTCCTGCAGTCCCACCAGTCTGTCCGCATCTCTGTGCTGGGTAACGCTGAGTCTCAGGAATGGGTCAGCCCTAAGCCCTGCCCTCAGAGAGCGAGCAGAGTGGTGGGGAAGACGCCCTCACAGCAAGAGGACCGAGCAGGAGGCTATTGTGGCCCAGAAGCAGGAGAGACCAAACCTGCCTGAGGGAGTCACGCCAGACATTCCAGATGAAATTGAGGAAAAACCCAGGGGCTCCTGGCAAGGGGATTTCCAGGGACAGGGCCAGGGGAGAAGACAGTGTTATGGGCTCTAAACATGGGGTTTGTGCGGAAAGGTTAAGACAAACCCTAATTTTGTTCTCAGAGAGGCACCCTTTCAGATTCAGATGCATCACCTCTAGACCTGTTCTGACATTCTTCTTTCTTTGCCCTGCTCTGTACCCCCTTTTAGGAGAAGCAAGGTCAACTGGAGCCAATGAACCCTGTGGAATCTGCATCGTACCTGAGCCCCCTTTACCCCTGGCATTACAAATGCCCACGAAGCCCTCAGAGCCCCAGAGACCCTGGAGTCGATAGTAAATCGGAAGCCCTCAGCTCACAAAGCCCTCTTAACCCGTATTTGTCCTTCACACTGGTTCTCCATTGAGTTGCAGTGTGTTGCTTAATCTCTGACCTGACCACACAACTTTTGCAGGCGAATTCTTGGACTGGTTGTTTGCATTAGCCGAAAGGAACATGCCCCAATCTGAAGCGGTGTCACAGGAAGGAAAAACACATGTAAAACTATAAAACAGGCCCATCCGGAAGTAGCTTTTGCGCCCCTATTGTGTGCCCAGCACCCAAGGTACACATGCAAGATCACTGGGCACCAGAGCCACCATATTTGGATCAGGTTCCCACTTCAGTGTTCACAGTGGCTGTGTGCCCTGTCACCGCTCTCTGAACTTCACTATTCTCACGTGACACACACCTGGGTGGAGGGGGAGTGGGAAGTGGCATCCAGAGACTTGGGCAAAGAAGAGGTTCCAGAGGGGCCCTGAGTGCCAAGATAAGGCCCCGGAACTTTAGCACGTAGGAGCTTGTTCCCAACTCTTAGAATGTAAATTCCGTGGAAACAGGAACCTTATCTGTCTCATTTTCTACTTCTATCACCAGCACCTTCAATTATGCTTAAAATACAAGAATGCTTTCAGAAATGTTCATCAAATAACTGAATGAATGAATTATATACTGTTATACGGTTTGAAGCAATGATGTCGAATCGCCATTTTCCTCCTTCCCTCCCCCACCCTAATGCCCTTCTTCTCCCCTCCCCTTCCTTTCTCTTCCCTCCCCTCTGTCTCCCTGCACTGGTTAGCACACCTGTGGGGCGGAACTTGGGGGGGGGCATCCCTGTGACTTCCGGCAGGTGTCCCATGACATCCGGTGGGTAGGAAGCTGATGAGCTCCACAGAACATCCAGGCCAGCCGACAAGTCAGCCTTGCTGTGCTTCTTCCGCTCCTTTCTCTATTTAAAAGAGATAAAATGGGAGGCAGGGAGTCTAGTTAGGAGATTATTGCAGTATTTCTTTTCCAAGCTGAAAGACAGGCATGCAAGGAATAAGAATGGTATTCTGGCACTAGAAAGGACCTTGGTTGTCTATTGTTCCCCTCCGAATGGGTAGCAGCCTCCTTTTTGGAGCCAGACATCAGTAATTTTCTGGGAGTGGAAGGCGGATCATGTTTTGTGAGTAAACACAGTCACCCTGCAGCACCAGTGAGATACTCATCTTGTGCTGAGGGTAAATGTTTATATAAACCCCTAAACAGTACAAGGACCCCCACATGCAGTTCACACATTCTGCAGAAACACCAGCTCCAGCCATGTGCTGAATAATGTGGGAACAAGCATCGCAGCTGCCTTGCCTTCGTGCAAGTCTACACAAGTTCACAGACAATGAAGAAATACAGATCTATAATTTGTACTTTAAGTTTGGACAAGTTCTAGGAAGGAAAAGGACAATACTGACAGAAAGTTACAACAAATGAACCTAGTTTAGATCACAGAACAGTTTGGGTCACAGAATCAGAATCCTGGTTTGGAGCTCGGAGAAAATAACTGCTGTGTTAAGAATTAAAGTGGTATTAGGAGCTGGCCAGAGGGACCAGCAGATTTTAGGCCCTGAGAAGGGAGAGGTTCAGTGAGTTCAGGGGCCCAGCTCCATGCGGCTGTGGCTCAGAGAGGCAAGACAGAGGCTTCAGAACTTCCAATGACTCACGGGCTCTGGTGAGAAGTTTCAGTGTTATCCTCATAGTGAGTGAGTTCCCTCGGGGCTTTGTCATTTGGGGAAACGGGCTTATAGGCAGTGTGGCTTTATCTGTGCAAACCATGTGCCGCAGGGGTGTTGGGTTGAGGGTGGAAACCTCTGTAATGGCTTGGGGTTTGCTTCGACTAAAGAAGCAAATCCTCTAGAGGACAGGCAAACAGAGGGGAAGAGTGGGAGGTTTGGTGAAGGAGCATGGAATTGAAAGGAAAACGGGAGAGAGGATGGGGACCAGGTTGGGGGTAAGTCGGGTATAGGTTTGGGAGTGGGAATGGACAGACAAGACTTCTTGAGTGTTGCGTTCTTGCCAATAGGGCATTTGGTGCAAGGCACAAAATGTGGTACACCGGGTGCCTTTTGATTAGCCCTGGAAGTGACGCACTGGGCATTTGTTTTTTGATCAACAACTTCCTATCAGTCCATCACCTGTTTGTGCACAAATACTGAGATAAGGGAGTAGTGTCTCACAACAGCTGATTGCTCCAGCGCTGGCAGGAGTCCAGAACCATCTGCTCAAGAAAAATGATTCTCCTGATGGCTGGGGACACCCACCTAGAAGTGGTACAGGAGCGACGGTTACTTACTAGCTGGTCGGGTGCAGAAAACACGTGGGTTCTCCGTGGCCCACCTTGACACAGCAGCCGCTGCAAACATCGTCAGACCCTGATTGGCTCTGAACAATACATGTGTGCTGGTTGGCGGCACACCTGTGGAGCACGGCTTGGCTAAGGCATCCCTGCGACTTCCGGCAGGGATCACGTGATATCCGGCGGGTATTCTAGCACGTGACATCCGGCGAATGTGAAGGTGGTGCAGCTCCTGAATTCCCAGGTCAACTGTCAAGTTAACCTAGTGCACTCAGTAACTTCTAAGTCACTTTCAGTGACCATGCACCTGGTTATTCCACGTGTGGAGACATACAGGTGATTCTGAGTCTTTAAATCCATCCAATCAATTTTTTACTCTGGAAAGTAATTTCTCCAAAGTTTTTATAATTATAAGTCACTCAATCAATCACCTGGTGCTTGTTCAAAACTCCAAGAGGACGTTCGGTTTTCAAGGAGTTAAGTGAAGACATGCCAAGGAAAGGTCCTCCTGGAATACTCAGAACCTGAGACCTGAAGGTAAATTTGGAAAAAGAAATGATTATTTAGGGAAAGAAAAAGAAATTGAGTAAGGACAACCAACAGATGGGCCAGGGACTGGGGAAGGCAGGGAGACTTGAAGGATCACTGCATGCTCTGCAGTAAAACACTCCCAGGTTACAGATGAAGAAAATGAGGGGGTCCCACAGAGGACTA